ATCTTTAAAGATTTTGATACATCAATCTTCATTTTAAAACAAATGCAAATTAAGTTATGTAGCTACACATATCTGTATTCTTCAGTACTTTAAACTGACATCCTGCCGCCTACAATCAGCCCTGCCCTGACTGACTGTATATAATGAGCCCTTAACCAACAGTCTTGTAGGACAAGAGACAAAACAATTGGATGGCGATCAATAGCAGTTCCATACAGCACTGCGAGAGGTCAGAGGTTTCATTTGGATTGTATATCATGTGACACAGCAAGCACAGGGATACTACAATCCTGCGACTCAAGTTCATCAACCATCAAAAGGTTAGATCTAGCTCTCCAGACTGAACAGAATAATCAATAGACCTGGGTTGAGCTGGACTGCTGGTCACTGGATTGAAATAACAGGGGAAAAAATAATGAAAATGTTAATTTAATTGAAATAGAAAATGTTAACGTATATCTCACTTGTGATACATATATTATCATGTGACAGCTTTGCCATCACAGGAATGAATTACATTTTCAAATACATTAAAATAAAAAAACAGTTATTTTATATTGTAATAATATTTCACAATATTGTGAATATTGTATTCTTACATCAAATGCAGTTCAAATTGCAGTTAATAAAATCAAAATTACAAGAAAAAAATATATTCTAATGACACAATAAGGCACACAGAAAAATTGCTAAAATGTTTTATTTTATTATCATTATTATTATCATCGTCATCATTATTATTCAAGTTTAGATGTAACAGACATCTTTGCCATCTTTATTGAATCTTTTTGCATGTAAAAACCTACCACACAAAAAAGAAAGAAAAATAATAAAATAAAACAAAGTTAAGGTGGCAGCTGAAAACAAAAGAAAATCCTAAAATCGTCATCTATGCACTTTAAATGCAGCAAGTGTAAAAACAATAACATTCTAAGAATAATGGTTAAAACATTTACATATTTATGCCCTTTGCCTTGACCTTGGCCAAACAAGCTTCCAGGCTCCATCAAATACTCCTTGTGTTTCAATATTGCTAAGACCTTCAAACATAGGCAAGATCTCTTTCATTTATTATAATGCAGTACCTGTACTTAGCATGCTAATAACACATTTCATCTTTCTTCTTTTGCAATAGAGTAACTGAAGTGCAAGCATTAACATTTTCAAATTAAAACGAAAATTTTGACAAAAATAAAAATAAAGAATCTTATGTTATTTAATACCCAACTGTATAAATGGTTTGTTGAAAAGCGATGGTCTATAATGATTTCAGTTATTTTAAGAGGCATTTGCAGTTAAGCAGCGTTGTAAGGCTAGTTTCTTAGAAACAGAGAGAGAGAGCAAATTAGACATTTTGAGCCTCAATCTCTCCCCCTTTTCCCCAGTTCATATAAATAATGTCTGTATGAAGTCAGACTAGACCCAACTCACTGAACCTGTGACCATGAAAAGGAGCAAGTGTGGAGAAGCACACATGGGAGCACTACAACAACAACAAAACAGACATCTCAAAGTTGCTAGCAAACAAAAACAAAATCTGGGAGGTTTAATTTTTTTCCCTCCTATTCAAATAAAATGGAAAACTGAAGATGCATGAACAGCTTTAAAATATATCAAGCGCTTGACTTGACGAAGTATGTCTGGATAATTTCTGAGCTCATTATTACTTAAAAACATGTTTTCAGTCGCTCAGGTAGACAGTTGTCCACTCCTCATGATAAAAATTGCAAAAGGAGCATGGGAACCAAAGTACAGCTGGGTGAAACAACAATATAAATAACAATGTTATGCCTCTTTGAGACAACTGCCATCGAAAGGCACCAGAAACACCTGCAGTTATTAAATTTCATCAACAGTACACTGAATAAAATTGTTAAAAAAAAACAAAAGTCAAAGGTGTTTTCAACTGCTCTTTAGAATTAGAGGTGGAATGAATTTAGACTGGCAGAAAGTTATTATTTTTATATTATAGAGCACTGGCTCCCATAAAATGACCAAATGTAGCACAGACTCATCAGTTTCCCTTGAATGTTCGGTATCAAAAGAGCAGGAGAAAAATACAGGAAGACTTCAGTCCAATACAAGCTTCTTCATCAACTACAAAGCACAAGTACATGGTAAGGAGAGGCAACAGAAAATGACAATGCTTGGAATGAATAGTGCCCTTTTGTGGCCAAGAGATAAAAAAAAAAAAAACATAGCACTTTTGTTTAATATTCCACCTTTGGAGGAAAGGAAATTGAATTGTCTTACTGTTTTCGTGGAAAAAAAAAGTTCAGGTGTTGCTTCATTACGTCGTTTGCTACATTTGCAAATGTAAACGTTTGTCAGGGCCAAATTCAAGGCCCTTATTCAGATGCAAGTTCAATGTTGCATATCAACATCTCATGTAGAAAATCTTTGTACAATATATCAGGCACTGATAATATGATTTTACTATTAACAACCTAGAAAAAAATATATCTTTTTTTATTCCTTCCCAAATTTAGTAGAGAATTGCATCTCAGCAACTAAGGCAGCAGCTTGAAAGTTTTGATGGAATTCTGTGACTTGAGTTACCTAACCCTATAACTTAAAAAAAAAAAAAAAAAAAAGAAAACATCAAACAGAAAACTATAAGACATTTAGTATGCTGTTAACTCGAGACGGTCAGACTATAATCTAATGTTGTCTATTCAGCCATACACATTCCCTGAGGATGCTGGATGTTTGAAGACGGCAGTCATTTATGCTGTTACCATAGTGACAGATGACTGACACATTTTTCTACACTGAGCCACACATGCAGAAACACATCCTCATATTTATCAGAACCAGGTAAGAGAACTTTCCATAAATCTGTGAATACACATGATGACGAGAAACGAAGCATTACATTGGAGTAGATGTACCTTGCTTGCTGAACTGCCTTGTCAAAAATTATAAATCTGGACTAACGAAAATATTTCTAGATTGAGTATCTACATGTACCGATGTCTTCAAAAAAAAAGCAGTCTTTGTTCGTTAAAAGTGTGTTTGTGTGAGCTCCCACAGAAATGCTATGCTGACTGAAGTTTCTTGCATTGGCTGCTTAGGCACCATGATCTGTCTTAGCACATTTCAAACAAAAAGTTCAATGCATTCATTTGTACAATCCCTCGCTTTCCTCACTGCTCTAGTTGTGTTCGGACTGCAGGTTTGTAAAGCTCATTGGTTAGAGGGGTTGGCGTTCGCCTCGGGGGCGGCCCGGTGGAGGCCTCGCTGGATGTGTGTTGTGAAATCGTACTTATCGGCACAAGCGTGCAGGCAGATACTGCACTGGAAGGGCCCGCCGTCACCATGGCAACTCATGTGCAGGGCGTACAGGACCTCGTCCAGGAAGACAATGCCACAGTGGGCGCATTTGCTCGAGATTTCATCTTGCGTGGCCTGATCAACCTTCTCTGGTTTTGGGACTTGTGAAGAAGAAGAAGGGCACTCGTCTTCGGGTTCTTCTGAGCGTTCTGTCTCCCGCTCCCTTTCAGAAGCAGGTGACGCCAGTTTCTCCTTGGTGACGAGGGTCCCGTTGGGCGTAGCACTGGGTTTGGAATGTTTCATGGCCAGATCAAGAGGCGTGTCGCTTTCGGGTCCAGAAGGGGTTGGTGGGGGGAAATGAGGCGGTAAGCCGAAGGAAGGGTAAGGCACAAAGCTTTGGCACGGACTGGGAAGGCCAGCCACGGGGCTCAGGTAGTGGCCCGGGTTGCCCGGCACAGACATCTTGTACTTAGTCCAGAAGCGCAACCAGTCACCTTCATTTTGCAGGTCGTTGTGGAGGAAGGGTAGGCTGAAGAACGGATACTGGTACTTCTCGATAGGGCTTCCAGGAGGAGAGTAGCTGGCCTGCTTCGATGGACGCATGTACTTCTCAATAGGGCTGCCCCGTTCTGAGCCACCTTTGCCGTCACCGCCCTGGGGTCCTGCGCTGAGCCCGTTGCCCTCGGTCCCACCGTCTGTAGGGCTCTTGTGCATATGCAGGGGTGGCATACGCTTGTGGATCTCCAGCGTCTGGTTGACGAGGAACGCGTGGGTGGAGCGGGGGCTAGGGTGACTTTTGGGTCCTGAGGAACCGTAAGCCTCGTATTTATCCAACTGCACTTGGGCCTCGGCACGTGATAAAGACCCATCAGATCCTGCTTCCTCAGTCCTCCTCTCTAAGGGGCTGCCGTTGAGACGCTCCTCGCTGTTGAC